TATGAACTAACACACCGACCTTGACCTTCAGGGCATACCAGCACGCTATGAACTAACACACAGACCTTGACCTTCAGGACATACCAGCACGCTATGAACTAACACACAGACCTTGACCTTCAGGGCATACCAGCACGCTATGAACTAACACACAGACCTTGACCTTCAGGACATACCAGCACGCTATGAACTAACACACACAGACCTTGACCTTCAGGGCATACCAGCACGCTATGAACTAACACACCGACCTTGACCTTCAGGACATACCAGCACGCTCTAAACTAACACACAGACCTTGACCTTCAGGACATACCAGCACGCTCTCAACTAACACACAGACCTTGACCTTCAGGGCATACCAGCACGCTATGAACTAACACACAGACCTTGACCTTCAGGGTATACAGCATGCCGTTAACCAGCACACCGACCTTGACCTTCAGGGTGTAACACTGAGCTTGTCAGGCACATGGTGCTGGGTACCAAATATAAACCTCCAGTGACGTCACTCTGTTGTCTCGCCAGGTTCTCCTTTTACCGAATAAACCTCCACAAGCAGTTTCGCGGACATTCTCCAAGAAATCCCGAGGATTTCTTTTACAGAAGTGCTCGGGTCCTGGAGATTTTTTCAGGAATTGCCCGGGGAGTTTCTAACGAAGACCGTTTGAATTTGTATTTTTTTTACTTGTACAAGTTTTGAACACGATCATAACATATCACATAATTGTGCCGATGCATGGTTGCGAACCTTAAACCCTTCGCTTACTAGCTTGGCGGTTTAATCCACAAGGCTACGATCGCTGTGAAGAATGAGATTGTTTGTCAGTATGAACCATGTGTTCCTGACAAGACGGGTAGTGCGGGCAGCGCGGGAAGCGCACGTGCAGGACACGGCGACCGCGTGCAGTGCACGTGGATTCCGGGCGCAAGGCAATGTATCGTCTGCCAGGTGCATCCCAGATGATTTCAACAGTAAATACAAAATGTTGAAATTATATATAAAGTATATCTTCGGTCGGTTTATACGTCAGATCAAAACCTCTGAGTCGGTTTGATCCTTAACGTCTAAACAAGAAACCGGACTGAGTAATAATACATGGCTTAGATTCCTTACCCGATACCATTGAAAGCAATGAAGAGGCTGTCTCCTTCAATGAAGATGTCTTGGACAGTTCTTTGCAGAGACTTGACAAAGGTTTCCACACCTGTCCTGAGGCTATACTTGGAAAGCGTCGCCGGAGAATTCACTGTGAAGTATACTTCTTGAGCTGGAAATGCAAACAGTTGTATCATAAAAAAGAAGCTGAAATATTTAACTGTGGGTGACTGAATGTATAGGTCGAACAAAGTCTCCTGTGTAAGAGGCACCTGATGGCAACCGATACTCATGTACATATATCCCATAAACTGACGCATGATAAGGATAATAATCATCGACTATTGTAGTGTTCTTGTTCGGCATCATGCAACTTCCTGACATCCAGTATTGGTTCACGATATTGAGGCATTGTACTGGCCGCGATACACGTTCTGTATAGAGGAATATGTCACACTGTTCACTGATGGTAGCGATACGCTATATGTCATACTGTGTGCTGAAGGGCAACTTAATGTAAGATACGCCATATGTCATGTCTGTTCACTGATGGTAGCGTTGGCCATATGTCACACTGTTCACTGATGGTAGCGTTGATACGCCATATGTCATGACTGTTCACAGATGGTAGCGTTGATACGCCATATGTCATGTTGTGTGCTGATGGTAGCGTTGATACGTCATATGTCATACTGTCATGGCTGATGGTAGCGTTGATATGTTATATGTCACGGTTATGTAGTGCTGAATGGCAACTTAATGTAAGAGGGTCACCAAAATGTTGAGAGGTGTCTTGTCAGAGCCTCATATTTAAGTAGTGGCTTATGTCATGTTGTCGGAGGGTCACGGTTATGTAGTGGCTTATGACATGTTGTCAGAGGGTCACGCTTATGTAGTGGCTTATGACATGTTGTTGCCAGAGGGTCACGCTTATGTAGTGGCTTATGTCATGTTGTCAGAGGGTCACGCTTATGTAGTGGCTTATGTCATGTTGTCAGAGGGTCACGGTTATGTAGTGGCTTATGTCATGTTGTCAGACGGTCATGGTTATGTAGTGGCTTATGACATGTTGTTGACAGAGGGTCACGGTTATGTAGTGGCTTATGACATGTTGTTGCCAGAGGGTCACGCTTATGTAGTGGCTTATGTCATGTTGTCAGAGGGTAATGGTTATGTAGTGGCTAATGACATGTTGTCAGAGGGTCACGCTTATGTAGTGGCTTATGACATGTTGTCAGAGTGTCACGCTTATGTAGTGGCTTATGACATGTTGTTGCCAGAGGGTCACGCTTATGTAGTGGCTTATGTCATGTTGTCAGAGGGTAATGGTTATGTAGTGGCTTATGTCATGTTGTCAGAGGGTCATGCTTAAGTAGTGGCTAATGACATGTTGTCAGAGGGTCACGCTTATGTAGTGGCTTATGACATGTTGTCAGAGGGTCATGGTTATGTAGTGGCTTATGTCATGTTGTCAGAGGGTCATGCTTAAGTAGTGGCTAATGACATGTTGTCAGAGGGTCACGCTTATGTAGTGGCTTATGACATGTTGTCAGAGGGTCACGCTTATGTAGTGGCTTATGTCATGTTGGTCAGAGGGTCATGGTTAAGTAGTGGCTAATGACATGTTGTCAGAGGGTAATGGTTATGTTGTAGTGGTTAATGGACATGTTGTCAGAGGGTCATGCTTAAGTAGTGGCTAATGACATGTTGTCAGAGGGTCACGCTTATGTAGTGGCTTATGACATGTTGTCAGAGGGTCATGGTTATGTAGTGGCTTATGTCATGTTGTCAGAGGGTCACGCTTATGTAGTGGCTTATGACATGTTGTCAGAGGGTCACGCTTATGTAGTGGCTTATGACATGTTGTCAGAGGGTCATGGTTATGTAGTGGCTTATGTCATGTGTTGTCAGAGGGTCATGGTTATGTAGTGGCTTATGACATGTTGTCAGAGGGTCATGGTTAAGTAGTGGCTTATGTCATGTTGTCAGAGGGTCACGCTTATGTAGTGGCTTATGACATGTTGTCAGAGTGTCACGGTTATGTAGTGGCTTATGACATGTTGTTGCCAGAGGGTCACGCTTATGTAGTGGCTTATGTCATGTTGTCAGAGGGTAATGGTTATGTAGTGGCTTATGTCATGTTGTCAGAGGGTCACGCTTAAGTAGTGGCTAATGACATGTTGTCAGAGGGTCACGGTTATGTAGTGGCTTATGACATGTTGTCAGAGGGTCATGGTTATGTAGTGGCTGCGCATCAGGTCGGTTATGTATATGTGTCAGAGGGTCACGCTTATGTAGTGGCTTATGACAGGTTGTCAGAGGGTCACGGTCATGTAGTGGCTTATGTCATGTTGTCAGAGGGTCATGGTTATGTAGTGGCTTATGTCATGTTGTCAGAGGGTCACGGTTATGTAGTGGCTTATGTCATGTTGTCAGAGGGTCACGGTTATGTAGTGGCTTATGTCATGTTGTCAGAGGGTAATGGTTAAGTAGTGGCTTATGACATGTTGTTGTCAGAAGGTCACGCTTATGTAGTGGCTTATGACGTTGTCAGAGGGTCACGCATATGTAGTGGCTTATGACATGTTGTTGTCAGAGGGTCATGGTTATGTAGAGGCTAATGACATGTTTTACAGAGGGTCACGGTTATGTAGAGGCTTATGTCATGTTGTTGTCAGAGGGTCATGGTTATGTAGTGGCTTATGTCATGTTGTCAGAGGGTCACGGTTATGTAGTGGCTTATGACATGTTGTCAGAGGGTCACGGTTATGTAGTGGCTTATGACATGTTGTCAGAGGGTCATGGTTATGTAGTGGCTTATGTCATGTTGTCAGAGGGTCATGGTTATGTAGTGGCTTATGTCATGTTGTTGTCAGAGGGTCATGGTTATGTAGTGGCTAATGACATGTTGTCAGAGGGTCACGGTTATGTAGTGGCTTATGACATGTTGTCAGAGGGTCATGGTTATGTAGTGGCTTATGACATGTTGTCAGAGGGTCATGGTTATGTAGTGGCTTATGTCATGTTGTCAGAGGGTCACGGTCATGTAGTTCCTTATGTCATGTTGTCAGAGGGTCACGCTTATGTAGTGGCTTATGACATGTTGTCAGAGGGTGACGGTTATGTAGTGGCTTATGTCATGTTGTCAGAGGGTCATGGTTATGTAGTGGCTTATGTCATGTTGTCAGAGGGTCATGGTTATGTAGTGGCTTATGTCATGTTGTCAGAGGGTCATGGTTATGTAGTGGCTCATGACATGTTGCCAGACGGTCATGGTTATGTAGTGGCTTATGTCATGTTGTCAGAGGGTCATGGTTATGTAGTGGCTTATGTCATGTTGTTGTCAGAGGGTCATGGTCATGTAGTTCCTTATGTCATGTTGTCAGAGGGTCACGCTTATGTAGTGGCTTATGACATGTTGTCAGAGGGTGACGGTTATGTAGTGGCTTATGTCATGTTGTCAGAGGGTCATGGTTATGTAGTGGCTTATGTCATGTTGTCAGAGGGTCATGGTTATGTAGTGGCTTATGTCATGTTGTCAGAGGGTCATGGTTATGTAGTGGCTTATGTCATGTTGTCAGAGGGTCATGGTTATGTAGTGGCTTATGTCATGTTGTTGTCAGAGGGTCACGTGTTTGTAGTGGCTTATGTTATTTTGTCCTACATGTGTCGCACTGTCTGATATGGTTAACTTTACTGTAGAGACATGTGTGACAATGCTGAATAAGGATTAGACACACCCCTCACCCTATTCCACACCATCCACATTCAAGCAAGCCTTCACCCCAACTACGCTTTTTACACGCACACAGACAAACGCACGCACACACACACAAACACACGCACACAGACACGCGCGCACGCACGCACACACACACACACACGAACACACACACGATGATTACCTACCTGCTACGTCTATTGCAATCGCAGACAACCCATTACCTCCAATGGTGGATTGATGGACAGTGTCGACATCCCCTTCACTATTGGCCCTGTACAGGGCAAGCGAGAAGGATAAGGAAGTGAAGTAGACACACCTATAAATGAAAATCAAAAACTGCTAAAATACATAAAAGTGTTGACCCTCCAAACTAGGGAATCAGGGCTCAGTAATGATCGTCAATCAACAGCGTCTTATACCGTACCTGAATGGCTCACTGAATACCCCGCGAGATCCCTTTACAGCCCATATATAAAAAAACACATATGCAGAAATAGAACATTGAAGCTTTTGAGGATTCCAAGTAACTAGTACTAGTAATTTCAACATACCAACATCTGGTGGGATACCATGGTCAGAACAACTGAACAATCTCTGGTAGGATACCTTGGTCAGAACAACTGAACCATCTCTGGTGGGATACCTTGCTCAGAACAACTGAACCATCTCTGGTGGGATACCTTGCTCAGAACAACTGAACCATCTCTGGTGGGATACCTTGGTCAGAACAACTGAACCATCTCTGGTGGGATACCTTGGTCAGAACAACTGAACCATCTCTGGTGGGATACCTTGGTCAGAACAACTGACCCATCTCTGGTGGGATACCTTGGTCAGAACAACTGACCCATCTCTGGTGGGATACCTTGGTCAGAACAACTGAACCATCTCTGGTGGGATACCTTGGTCAGAACAACTGAACCATCTCTGGTGGGATACCTTGCTCAGAACAACTGAACCATCTCATCTATTTGGGGATACCTTGGTCAGAACAACTGAACCATCTCTGGTGGGATACCTTGGTCAGAACAACTGAACCATCTCTGGTGGGATACCTTGCTCAGAACAACTGACCCATCTATGGGGGATACCTTGCTCAGAACAACTGAACCATCTCTGGTGGGATACCTTGGTCAGAACAGCTGAACCATCTCTGGTGGGATACCTTGGTCAGAACAACTGAACCATCTCTTGTGGGATACCTTGCTCAGAACAACTGACCCATCTATGTGGGGATACCTTGGTCAGAACAGCTGAACCATCTATGGTGGGATACCTTGGTCAGAACAACTGAACCATCTCTGGTGGGATACCTTGGTCAGAACAACTGAACCATCTCTGGTGGGATACCTTGGTCAGAACAACTGAACCATCTCTGGTGGGATACCTTGCTCAGAACAACTGACCCATCTATGGGGATACCTTGGTAAGAACAGCTGAACCATCTCTGGTGGGAAACCTTGGTCAGAACAGCTGAACCATCTCTGGTAGGATACTTTACATTGACTTACTCTGTTGAGCTTATAGCGGAATATGAAGAATGTCCTCTTCTGTGACAGCTACCTATTAAGGTGTTACTTATCTTTAGTGTCTGTGCGTTTATTGCTTTTCATGAAGAGGTCAGCCAGAATTAACAGTTCGAACGAACCGCGAAGTCTGAAGAAATCAACCATCAGTGGTTCTGTTGCTGTGTCTAGCGAACTCGTCTATCTCTGGTTTATGCATAATGTTAAAAACCGACCTATCTCTAAGTACATAGCTCTGTTTCAAGAAGATTTAAGTGTGTGAAGGTGTATGTTAAGTCGTGAGAACTCACACATTAGTTGGCTTATGGCTTACACTGAAAACCTTGAAAATGTCCAGCGTTAAAGCTAACCCTGAAGAACACAGACATGTCCAGGGTTATAGATAAAGAACACAGACATGTCCAGGGTTATAGATAAAGAACACAGACATGTCCAGGGTTATAGATAAAGAACACAGACATGTCCAGGGTTATAGATAAAGAACACAGACATGTCCAGGCTTATAGATAAAGAACACAGACATGTCCAGGGTTATAGATAAAGAACACAGACATGTCCAGGGTTATAGATAAAGAACACAGACATGTCCAGGGTTATAGATAAAGAACACAGACATGTCCAGGGTTATAGATAAAGAACACAGGCATATCCAGGGTTATAGGCAGGGTTATAGATAAAGGGTTATAGGGTTATAGATAAAGAACACAGACATGTCCAGGGTTATAGATAAAGAACACAGACATGTCCAGGGTTATAGATAAAGAACACAGACATGTCCAGGGTTATAGATAAAGAACACAGACATGTCCAGGCTTATAGATAAAGAACACAGACATGTCCAGGGTTATAGATAAAGAACACAGACATGTCCAGGCTTATAAATAAAGAACACAGACATGTCCAGGCTTATAGATAAAGAACACAGACATGTCCAGGGTTATAGATAAAGAACACATACATGTCCAGGGTTATAGATAAAGAACACAGACATGTCCAGGGTTATAGATAAAGAACACAGACATGTCCAGGCTTATAGATAAAGAACACAGACATGTCCAGGGTTATAGATAAAGAACACAGACATGTCAAGGGTTATAGATAAAGAACACAGACATGTCCAGGGTTATAGATAAAGAACACAGACATGTCCAGGGCTATAGATAAAGAACACATCATCTGTTGTATGATAGTTATAACTAAGTATAAAGATTACACCATCCTTCCCGTTCCAACTGCGCTCAGAGGACTCACCCATCCGCTTGGTTAAAGCTAAGCTTTGAGGACTCACCCATCCGTTGGGTTGTAACTATGTTTGGAGGATTCACCCATCCGTTGGGTTGTAACTATGTTTGGAGGACTCACCCATCTGTTGGGTTGTAACTAAGTTTGGAGGACTCACCCATCTGTTGGGTTGTAACTATGTTTGGAGGACTCACCCATCTGTTGGGTTGTAACTAAGTTTGGAGGACTCACCCATCCGTTGGGTTGTAACTAAGTTTGGAGGATTCACCCATCCGTTGGGTTGTAACTAAGTTTGGAGGACTCACCCATCTGTTGGGTTGTAACTAAGTTTGGAGGACTCACCCATCTGTTGGGTTGTAACTATGTTTGGAGGACTCACCCATCTGTTTGGTTGTAACTAAGTTTGGATGACACACCCATCTGTTGGATTGTAACTAGGTTTGGAGGACTCACCCATCTGTTGGGTTGTAACTAAGTTTGGAGGACTCACCAATCCGTTGGGTTGTAACTAAGTTTGGAGGACTCACCCATCTGTTGGGTTGTAACTAAGTTTGGAGGACTCACTCATCTGTTGGGTTGTAACTATGTTTGGAGGACTCACCCATCTGTTGGGTTGTAACTAAGTTTGGAGGACTCACTCATCTGTTGGGTTGTAACTATGTTTGGAGGACTCACTCATCCGTTGGGTTGTAACTAAGTTTGGAGGACTCACCCATCCGCATGGTTAAAACTAAGATTGGAGGACTCACCCATCCGCATGGTTAAAACTAAGATTGGAGGACTCACCCATCCGTTGGGTTGTAACTATGTTTGGAGGACTCACTCATCTGTTGGGTTGTAACTAAGTTTGGAGGACTCACCCATCTGTTGGGTTGTAACTAAGTTTGGAGGACTCACTCATCTGTTGGGTTGTAACTATGTTTGGAGGACTCACCCATCTGTTGGGTTGTAACTATGTTTGGAGGATTCACCCATCCGTTGGGTTGTAACTATGTTTGGAGGACTCACCCATCTGTTGGGTTGTAACTAAGTTTGGAGGACTCCACCCATCTGTTGGGTTGTAACTATGTTTGGAGGACTCACTCATCTGTTGGGTTGTAACTAAGTTTGGAGGACTCACCCATCTGTTGGGTTGTAACTAAGTTTGGAGGACTCACTCATCCGTTGGGTTGTAACTATGTTTGGAGGACTCACCCATCTGTTGGGTTGTAACTAAGTTTGGAGGACTCACCCATCTGTTGGGTTGTAACTATGTTTGGAGGACTCACCCATCCGTTGGGTTGTAACTAAGTTTGGAGGACTCACCCATCTGTTGGGTTGTAACTATGTTTGGAGGATTCACTCATCTGTTGGGTTGTAACTAAGTTTGGAGGACTCACCCATCTGTTGGGTTGTAACTAAGTTTGGAGGACTCCACTCATCCGTTGGGTTGTAACTATGTTTGGAGGATTCACCCATCCGTTGGGTTGTAACTATGTTTGGAGGACTCACCCATCTGTTGGGTTGTAACTATGTTTGGAGGACTCACCCATCTGTTGGGTTGTAACTAAGTTTGGAGGACTCACTCATCTGTTGGGTTGTAACTATGTTTGGAGGACTCACCCATCTGTTGGGTTGTAACTATGTTTGGAGGACTCACCCATCTGTTGGGTTGTAACTATGTTTGGAGGACTCACCCATCTGTTGGGTTGTAACTAAGTTTGGAGGACTCACTCATCTGTTGGGTTGTAACTAAGTTTGGAGGACTCACCCATCTGTTGGGTTGTAACTAAGTTTGGAGGACTCACCCATCTGTTGGGTTGTAACTATGTTTGGAGGACTCACCCATCTGTTGGGTTGTAACTATGTTTGGAGGACTCACCCATCTGTTGGGTTGTAACTATGTTTGGAGGACTCACCCATCTGTTGGGTTGTAACTATGTTTGGAGGACTCACTCATCCGTTGGGTTGTAACTATGTTTGAAGGATTCACCCATCCGTTGGGTTGTAACTAAGTTTGGAGGACTCACCCATCTGTTGGGTTGTAACTATGTTTGGAGGACTCACCCATCTGTTGGGTTGTAACTAAGTTTGGAGGACTCACCCATCTGTTGGGTTGTAACTATGTTTGGAGGACTCACCCATCTGTTGGGTTGTAACTAAGTTTGGAGGATTCACCCATCCGTTGGGTTGTAACTATGTTTGGAGGATTCACCCATCCGTTGGGTTGTAACTATGTTTGGAGGACTCACCCATCTGTTGGGTTGTAACTAAGTTTGGAGGACTCACCCATCCGTTGGGTTGTAACTATGTTTGGAGGATTCACCCATCCGTTGGGTTGTAACTATGTTTGGAGGACTCACCCATCTGTTGGGTTGTAACTAAGTTTGGAGGACTCACTCATCTGTTGGGTTGTAACTATGTTTGGAGGACTCACCCATCTGTTGGGTTGTAACTATGTTTGGAGGACTCACCCATCTGTTGGGTTGTAACTAAGTTTGGAGGACTCACCCATCTGTTGGGTTGTAACTATGTTTGGAGGACTCACCCATCTGTTGGGTTGTAACTATGTTTGGAGGACTCACTCATCTGTTGGGTTGTAACTATGTTTGGAGGACTCACCCATCTGTTGGGTTGTAACTAAGTTTGGAGGACTCACTCATCCGTTGGGTTGTAACTATGTTTGGAGGACTCACCCATCTGTTGGGTTGTAACTATGTTTGGAGGACTCACCCATCTGTTGGGTTGTAACTAAGTTTGGAGGACTCACCCATCTGTTGGGTTGTAACTAAGTTTGGAGGACTCACCCATCTGTTGGGTTGTAACTATGTTTGGAGGACTCACCCATCTGTTGGGTTGTAACTAAGTTTGGAGGACTCACTCATCCGTTGGGTTGTAACTATGTTTGGAGGATTCACCCATCCGTTGGGTTGTAACTAAGTTTGGAGGACTCACCCATCTGTTGGGTTGTAACTATGTTTGGAGGACTCACCCATCTGTTGGGTTGTAACTAAGTTTGGAGGACTCACCCATCTGTTGGGTTGTAACTAAGTTTGGAGGACTCACCCATCTGTTGGGTTGTAACTATGTTTGGAGGACTCACCCATCTGTTGGGTTGTAACTATGTTTGGAGGACTCACCCATCTGTTGGGTTGTAACTAAGTTTGGAGGACTCACCCATCTGTTGGGTTGTAACTAAGTTTGGAGGACTCACCCATCTGTTGGGTTGTAACTATGTTTGGAGGACTCACCCATCTGTTGGGTTGTAACTATGTTTGGAGGACTCACCCATCTGTTGGGTTGTAACTATGTTTGGAGGATTCACCCATCTGTTGGGTTGTAACTATGTTTGGAGGACTCACCCATCTGTTGGGTTGTAACTATGTTTGGAGGATCTCACCCATCTGTTGGGTTGTAACTAAGTTTGGAGGACTCACCCATCTGTTGGGTTGTAACTATGTTTGGAGGACTCACCCATCTGTTGGGTTGTAACTATGTTTGGAGGACTCCACCATCTGTTGGGTTGTAACTAAGTTTGGAGGACTCACCCATCTGTTGGGTTGTAACTATGTTTGGAGGACTCACCCATCTGTTGGGTTGTAACTATGTTTGGAGGACTCACCCATCTGTTGGGTTGTAACTAAGTTTGGAGGACTCACCCATCTGTTGGGTTGTAACTAAGTTTGGAGGACTCACCCATCTGTTGGGTTGTAACTATGTTTGGAGGACTCACCCATCTGTTGGGTTGTAACTATGTTTGGAGGACTCACCCATCTGTTGGGTTGTAACTAAGTTTGGAGGACTCACCCATCTGTTGGGTTGTAACTATGTTTGGAGGACTCACCCATCTGTTGGGTTGTAACTATGTTTGGAGGACTCACCCATCTGTTGGGTTGTAACTAAGTTTGGAGGACTCACCCATCTGTTGGGTTGTAACTATGTTTGGAGGACTCACCCATCTGTTGGGTTGTAACTATGTTTGGAGGACTCACCCATCTGTTGGGTTGTAACTATGTTTGGAGGACTCACCCATCTGTTGGGTTGTAACTATGTTTGGAGGACTCACCCATCTGTTGGGTTGTAACTATGTTTGGAGGACTCACCCATCTGTTGGGTTGTAACTAAGTTTGGAGGACTCACCCATCTGTTGGGTTGTAACTAAGTTTTGAGAACTCACCCATCCGTTGGATTGTAACTAAGTCTGAAGAACCCTCTTGAGAAGGATGAGTTGATCACCATGGTGACCCCGTTGTCGTACTTCCTCAACTGCTCGTTGCCAAAGAAGTACGTGTTTGCCGATACGACAGCTATTCCAAATACTTCTGTACCCACTGCAATCAACCACGAGTAACTGGATTTTAATATTATGAAAATGACATAAATAACAGTGTGTGTGAATTGGTTTTACGCCGCTTTAAGCAGTATTCCACCAAACTGATCTTTTAGAACCCCGGGGATGAGCTACACATATTGAACCTACACGGAAACAGACGGGGTCTGAAGTATGTCCAAATACTAGACTCTGCCATGTGTTGATTGGCCTATCCAAGGCCCCTGAGAGTGGAATCTTACCATCAGTGTCTTCATGGCCATACTCTTGCTGTAGCGATCAAATTACATATTGACACGTCTTCCACAAGGCAAATAAACGAACAGGAAGGCCCGTCTGATTTCATTTGACAGACTGTTTTGGCAGTCATATATAAGAACACGTCGATGTGAAGGGCCTGCTGTTCTATTTACACTGCATACCCCGTTGTTACAACTGTCGTTAGAACAACAATTACATGACCGTTTGTTAAACAACTTTTTCTCGACTTCATGATATCAGGGTTTCATAACCTCTAGGAATATCATTACCCATGCCTATGAGCTTTTTATAATCAATAATTTCATAACCCATGGCTAGTTATGCGTGTGTGTGTGCGTGCGTGCGTGCGCGCGCGCACATGTGCGCACATGTGTGTGTGTGGTCGCTTACTTTGTATATAAATTTCAGGGAGGCGGGGAGTCATTCATATCATCATCATCATAAAAAAACCCACCCCCAAAAAACACCTCACCCCCCACCCCACTCCCTCCATCTTCTATATATCATGCAAGGTCCAACTTACAGTCGACTAACAGCACAGGGTCCGAGCCATTGGGTAGAATTGCGGAGATGCTACCAGAACTCAAAGCGTAGATGAGGCGGCCGACATCATTGTTATACTGGACGTCTGTGACAATCCCCACGGCGATGTTAGTCAAGGAGCCCGACGAGTCCTCCACGACCAAGTCCTGGCCGTTCCTACTGGTCCAGATCACCGACTTTGGTTCATCTGTGCACGGATTGGTCTATTTAGTTTCTGAGGAGGCTGTGTGAAGAGGGCCCTTACGTGTAGTTGTTGGCGTGTGGGATGTGGGGAGTTGTGTGGTGTGTGTGTGTGGTGTGTGTGGTGTGTGTGTGTGTGTGTGTGTGTGTGTGTGTGTGTGTGTGTGTGTGTGTGTGTGTGTGTGTGTGTGTGTGTTTGTTGTTGTTGTTAGGAGCCGTCGTCACCGTGACAAAATTCCAGTCTACAGATCAATAACAGTATGGTCCCCAACCATATGTCATGTATACATACATACATGACGTACAGATGTTATATACACCCCGAAAATGTTAGTGGGAGGATAGGGTTGTATTACATATATATTACATCCATAGCATACGCCAATTGTAATAAAAATATAACATACGTCAATGAGAGTGATGGATGGGGAAGGTTGTATTAAATATATAACAAAGGTAAATGAGAATGATTGATGGGAGGGTTGTATTAGATATGTATCATACGTCAATGAGAATGATTAATGGGGTGGGGTGGGGGTGGGGGTGGGGTGTATTAGATATGTAACATACGTCAATCAGAATGATCAATGGGAGGGTTGTATAAGATATGTAACATACGTCAATCAGAATGATTAATGGGAGGGTTGTATTAAATATGTAACATATTTCAATGAGAATTATTAATGGGAGGGTTGTATTAGATATGTAACATACGTCAATCACATACGTCAATCAGAATGATTCATGGGAGGATTGTATTAGATATGTAACATATGTCAATCAGAATTATTCATGGGAGGGTTGTATTAGATATGTAACATACGTCAATCAGAATTATTCAAGGGAGGATTGTATTAGATATGTAATATACGTCAATCAGAATGATTGATGGGAGGGTTGTATTAGATATGTAACCAAAGTCAAACAGTAGTATAGATGAGGTTGTTCTAGCTATAATCAGAAGGATTAACGGGTTGAGTAGAATCACATAGTTTACAGACATCATTCAGCACGAGCTGGGAGGGGACACCCTCGGACAACCCACTTGTCAGCTTGGTATCACAGGTCAGGTCTAACAGGTAACATAGATTACATACATCATACAGAACAGGGCGTGGCTGGTGGGAGGGGGACACCCTCGGACAGCCCACTTGTCAGCTTGGTATCACAGGTCAGGTCTAACAGGTTACATAGAATACATACATCATACAGAAGAGGGCGTGGCTGGTGGGAGGGGACATCCTCGGACAGCCCACTTGTCAGCTTGGTATCACAGGTCAGGTCTAACAGGTTACATAGATTACATACATCATACAGAAGAGGGCGTGGCTGGTGGGAGGGGACATCCTCGGACAACCCACTTGTCAGCTTGGTATCACAGGTCAGGTCTAACAGGTTACATAGATTACATACATCATACAGAAGAGGGCGTGGCTGGTGGGAGGGGACATCCTCGGACAACCCACTTGTCAGCTTGGTATCACAGGTCAGGTCTAACAGGTTACATAGATCATTACATACATCATACAGAAGAGGGCGTGGCTGGTGGGAGGGGACATCCTCGGACAACCCACTTGTCAGCTTGGTATCACAGGTCAGGTCTAACAGGTTACATAGATTACATACATCATACAGAAGAGGGCGTGGCTGGTGGGAGGGGACATCCTCGGACAACCCACTTGTCAGCTTGGTATCACAGGTCAGGTCTAACAGGTTACATAGATTACATACATCATACAGAAGAGGGCGTGGCTGGTGGGAGGGGACATCCTCGGACAACCCACTTGTCAGCTTGGTATCACAGGTCAGGTCTAACAGGTTACATAGATTACATACATCATACAGAAGAGGGCGTGGCTGGTGGGAGGGGACATCCTCGGACAACCCACTTGTCAGCTTGGTATCACAGGTCAGGTCTAACAGGTTACATAGATTACATACATCATACAGAAGAGGGCGTGGCTGGTGGGAGGGGACATCCTCCGACAACCCACTTGTCAGCTTGGTATCACAGGTCAGGTCTAACAGGTTACATAGATTACATACATCATACAGAAGAGGGCGTGGCTGGTGGGAGGGGACATCCTCGGACAACCCACTTGTCAGCTTGGTATCACAGGTCAGGTCTAACAGGTTACATAGATTACATACATCATACAGAAGAGGGCGTGGCTGGTGGGAGGGGACATCCTCGGACAACCCACTTGTCAGCTTGGTATCACAGGTCAGGTCTAACAGGTTACATAGATTACATACATCATACAGAAGAGGGCGTGGCTGGTGGGAGGGGACATCCTCGGACAACCCACTTGTCAGCTTGGTATCACAGGTCAGGTCTAACAGGTTACATAGATTACATACATCATACAGAAGAGGGCGTGGCTGGTGGGAGGGGACATCCTCGGACAGCCCACTTGTCAGCTTGGTATCACAGGTCAGGTCTAACAGGTTACATAGATTACATACATCATACAGAAGAGGGCGTGGCTGGTGGGAGGGGACATCCTCGGACAACCCACTTGTCAGCTTGGTATCACAGGTCAGGTCTAACAGGTTACATAGATTACATACATCATACAGAAGAGGGCGTGGCTGGTGGGAGGGGACATCCTCGGACAACCCACTTGTCAGCTTGGTATCACAGGTCAGGTCTAACAGGTTACATAGATTACATACATCATACAGAAGAGGGCGTGGCTGGTGGGAGGGGACACCCTCGGACAACCCACTTGTCAGCTTGGTATCACAGGTCAGGTCTAACAGGTTACATAGATTACATACATCATACAGAAGAGGGCGTGGCTGGTGGGAGGGGACATCCTCGGACAACCCACTTGTCAGCTTGGTATCACAGGTCAGGTCTAACAGGTTACATAGATTACATACATCATACAGAAGAGGGCGTGGCTGGTGGGAGGGGACATCCTCGGACAACCCACTTGTCAGCTTGGTATCACAGGTCAGGTCTAACAGGTTACATAGATAGATTACATACATCATACAGAAGAGGGCGTGGCTGGTGGGAGGGGACATCCTCGGACAACCCACTTGTCAGCTTGGTATCACAGGTCAGGTCTAACAGGTTACATAGATTACATACATCATACAGAAGAGGGCGTGGCTGGTGGGAGGGGACATCCTCGGACAACCCACTTGTCAGCTTGGTATCACAGGTCAGGTCTAACAGGTTACATAGATTACATACATCATACAGAAGAGGGCGTGGCTGGTGGGAGGGGACATCCTCGGACAACCCACTTGTCAGCTTGGTATCACAGGTCAGGTCTAACAGGTTACATAGATCATTACATACATCATACAGAAGAGGGCGTGGCTGGTGGGAGGGGACATCCTCGGACAACCCACTTGTCAGCTTGGTATCACAGGTCAGGTCTAACAGGTTACATAGATTACATACATCATACAGAAGAGGGCGTGGCTGGTGGGAGGGGACACCCTCGGACAGCCCAACTTGTCAGCTTGGTATCACAGGTCAGGTCTAACAGGTTACATAGATTACATACATCATACAGAAGAGGGCGTGGCTGGTGGGAGGGGACACCCTCGGACAACCCACTTGTCAGCTTGGTATCACAGGTCAGGTCTAACAGGTTACATAGATTACATACATCATACAGAAGAGGGCGTGGCTGGTGGGAGGGGGACATCCTCGGACAACCCACTTGTCAGCTTGGTATCACAGGTCAGGTCTAACAGGTTACATAGATTACATACATCATACAGAAGAGGGCGTGGCTGGTGGGAGGGGGACACCCTCGGACAGCCCAACTTGTCAGCTTGGTATCACAGGTCAGGTCTAACAGGTTACATAGATTACATACATCATACAGAAGAGGGCGTGGCTGGTGGGAGGGGACATCCTCGGACAACCCACTTGTCAGCTTGGTATCACAGGTCAGGTCTAACAGGTTACATAGATTACATACATCATACAGAAGAGGGCGTGGCTGGTGGGAGGGGACATCCTCGGACAACCCACTTGTCAGCTTGGTATCACAGGTCAGGTCTAACAGGTTACATAGATTACATACATCATACAGAAGAGGGCGTGGCTGGTGGGAGGGGACATCCTCGGACAACCCACTTGTCAGCTTGGTATCACAGGTCAGGTCTAACAGGTTACATAGATTACATACATCATACAGAAGAGGGCGTGGCTGGTGGGAGGGGACATCCTCGGACAACCCACTTGTCAGCTTGGTATCACAGGTCAGGTCTAACAGGTTACATAGATTACATACATCATACAGAAGAGGGCGTGGCTGGTGGGAGGGGACATCCTCGGACAACCCACTTGTCAGCTTGGTATCACAGGTCAGGTCTAACAGGTTACATAGATTACATACATCATACAGAAGAGGGCGTGGCTGGTGGGAGGGGACATCCTCGGACAACCCACTTGTCAGCTTGGTATCACAGGTCAGGTCTAACAGGTTACATAGATTACATACATCATACAGAAGAGGGCGTGGCTGGTGGGAGGGACATCCTCGGACAACCCACTTGTCAGCTTGGTATCACAGGTCAGGTCTAACAGGTTACATAGATTACATACATCATACAGAAGAGGGCGTGGCTGGTGGGAGGGGACATCCCTCGGACAACCCACTTGTCAGCTTGGTATCACAGGTCAGGTCTAACAGGTTACATAGATTACATACATCATACAGAAGAGGGCGTGGCTGGTGGGAGGGGACATCCTCGGACAACCCACTTGTCAGCTTGGTATCACAGGTCAGGTCTAACAGGTTACATAGATTACATACATCATACAGAAGAGGGCGTGGCTGGTGGGAGGGGACACCCTCGGACAACCCACTTGTCAGCTTGGTATCACAGGTCAGGTCTAACAGGGTTACATAGATTACATACATCATACAGAAGAGGGCGTGGCTGGTGGGAGGGGACACCCTCGGACAGCCCACTTGTCAGCTTGGTATCACAGGTCAGGTCTAACAGGTTACATAGATTACATACATCATACAGAAGAGGGCGTGGCTGGTGGGAGGGGACACCCTCGGACAGCCCACTTGTCAGCTTGGTATCACAGGTCAGGTCTAACAGGTTACATAGATTACATACATCATACAGAAGAGGGCGTGGCTGGTGGGAGGGGACACCCTCGGACAACCCACTTGTCAGCTTGGTATCACAGGTCAGGTCTAACAGGTTACATAGATTACATACATCATACAGAAGAGGGCGTGGCTGGTGGGAGGGGAGCATCCTCGGACAGCCCACTTGGTCAGCTTGGTATCACAGGTCAGGTCTAACAGGTTACATAGATTACATACATCATACAGAAGAGGGCGTGGCTGGTGGGGGGGGACACCCTCGGACAACCCACTTGTCAGCTTGGTATCACAGGTCAGGTCTAACAGGTTACATAGAGATTACATACATCATACAGAAGAGGGCGTGGCTGGTGGGAGGGGAGCATCCTCGGACAACCCACTTGGTCAGCTTGGTATCACAGGTCAGGTCTAACAGGTTACATAGATTACATACATCATACAGAAGAGGGCGTGGCTGGTGGGAGGGGACATCCTCGGACAACCCACTTGTCAGCTTGGTATCACAGGTCAGGTCTAACAGGTTACATAGATTACATACATCATACAGAAGAGGGCGTGGCTGGTGGGAGGGGACATCCTCGGACAACCCACTTGTCAGCTTGGTATCACAGGTCAGGTCTAACAGGTTACATAGATTACATACATCATACAGAAGAGGGCGTGGCTGGTGGGAGGGGACATCCTCGGACAACCCACTTGTCAGCTTGGTATCACAGGTCAGGTCTAACAGGTTACATAGATTACATACATCATACAGAAGAGGGCGTGGCTGGTGGGAGGAGGGACATCCTCGGACAACCCACTTGTCAGCTTGGTATCACAGGTCAGGTCTAACAGGTTACATAGATTACATACATCATACAGAAGAGGGCGTGGCTGGTGGGAGGGACATCCTCGGACAACCCACTTGTCAGCTTGGTATCACAGGTCAGGTCTAACAGGTTACATAGATTACATACATCATACAGAAGAGGGCGTGGCTGGTGGGAGGGACACACCCTCGGACAACCCACTTGTCAGCTTGGTATCACAGGTCAGGTCTAACAGGTTACATAGATTACATACATCATACAGAAGAGGGCGTGGCTGGTGGGAGGGGACATCCTCGGACAACCCACTTGTCAGCTTGGTATCACAGGTCAGGTCTAACAGGTTACATAGATTACATACATCATACAGAAGAGGGCGTGGCTGGTGGGAGGGACATCCTCGGACAACCCACTTGTCAGCTTGGTATCACAGGTCAGGTCTAACAGGTTACATAGATTACATACATCATACAGAAGAGGGCGTGGCTGGTGGGAGGGGACATCCTCGGACAACCCACTTGTCAGCTTGGTATCACAGGTCAGGTCTAACAGGTTACATAGATTACATACATCATACAGAAGAGGGCGTGGCTGGTGGGAGGGACATCCTCGGACAACCCACTTGTCAGCTTGGTATCACAGGTCAGGTCTAACAGGTTACATAGATTACATACATCATACAGAAGAGGGCGTGGCTGGTGGGAGGGGGACATCCTCGGACAACCCACTTGTCAGCTTGGTATCACAGGTCAGGTCTAACAGGTTACATAGATTACATACATCATACAGAAGAGGGCGTGGCTGGTGGGAGGGGACATCCTCGGACAACCCACTTGTCAGCTTGGTATCACAGGTCAGGTCTAACAGGTTACATAGATTACATACATCATACAGAAGAGGGCGTGGCTGGTGGGAGGGACATCCTCGGACAACCCACTTGTCAGCTTGGTATCACAGGTCAGGTCTAACAGGTTACATAGATTACATACATCATACAGAAGAGGGCGTGGCTGGTGGGAGGGGACACCCTCGGACAACCCACTTGTCAGCTTGGTATCACAGGTCAGGTCTAACAGGTTACATAGATTACATACATCATACAGAAGAGGGCGTGGCTGGTGGGAGGGGACACCCTCGGACAACCCACTTGTCAGCTTGGTATCACAGGTCAGGTCTAACAGGTTACATAGATTACATACATCATACAGAAGAGGGCGTGGCTGGTGGGAGGGGACACCCTCGGACAACCCACTTGTCAGCTTGGTATCACAGGTCAGGTCTAACAGGTTACATAGATTACATACATCATACAGAAGAGGGCGTGGCTGGTGGGAGGGGACACCCTCGGACAGCCCACTTGGTCAGCTTGGTATCACAGGTCAGGTCTAACAGGTTACATAGATTACATACATCATACAGAAGAGGGCGTGGCTGGTGGGAGGGGACACCCTCGGACAGCCCACTTGTCAGCTTGGTATCACAGGTCAGGTCTAACAGGTTACATAGATTACATACATCATACAGAAGAGGGCGTGGCCGGTGGGAGGAGAGCATCCTCGGACAACCCACTTGGTCAGCTTGGTATCACAGGTCAGGTCTAACAGGTTACATAGATTACATACATCATACAGAAGAGGGCGTGGCTGGTGGGAGGAGGGACATCCTCGGACAACCCACTTGTCAGCTTGGTATCACAGGTCAGGTCTAACAGGTTACATAGATTACATACATCATACAGAAGAGGGCGTGGCTGGTGGGAGGAGACATCCTCGGACAGCCCACTTGTCAGCTTGGTATCACAGGTTACAGGTCTAACAGGGCGTGGTGGTACATAGACTTGTCACATACATCATACAGGTTACATAGATTACATACATCATACAGAAGAGGGCGTGGCTGGTGGGAGGGACATCCTCGGACAGCCCACTTGTCAGCTTGGTATCACAGGTCAGGTCTAACAGGTTACATAGATTACATACATCATACAGAAAGGGCGTGGCTGGTGGGAGGGGACATCCTCGGACAGCCCACTTGTCAGCTTGGTATCACAGGTCAGGTCTAACAGGTTGCATAGATTACATACATCATACAGAAGAGGGGGCTGGTGGGAGGGTCATCCTGACAGCCCACTTGGTTCATACTGCACCAAGGTTCTGACCCTAACAGGGAGAGAGAAATATGTATAATCCCTCGGACACATCGTCAAAACAGGAAACTTGTCATGTCCCTTGGTATCACATTTTCAAAACCTAAGAGCCTTTCAAACAAATAGTACATACTCCTGACTAGTTCAAAACACATGCTCTGGGGCTCAAAGCGCTTGAGGATTCTAATGCTTTATTGGTTTTATTTCATAACAAGTGAGTTAGTTTGCTTTTGGGACGCTTTTAGCAACATTCCAGCTGTATCACGGCGGGGGACACCAGAAATGGGCTTCACATATTGTGCCCATGAGGGGAATCGAACCCGGGTCATCAGCGTGACGAGTGAACACTTTAACAACATGGCCACTCCACCGCCCTCATTTTATAGAAAAAGCCTTTATTTTTCAGTGAATCTGCCCTTTGATTAAAATACGAGAGGTGATCAAAACGTACTCGGCATAACTATATTCTCGATGTCCAGTGTTTGAAATTATGAATAATGATCTATTTATTCATTGACACACTAATAAAATATCAATCATATAAATACAAATATCCCTAACTTTTTTTGTCCTTTATGTTTTGAAGGAATCATTATCAAAGCCATATCCGAAGATTCACATATGTGGGTAATATGGATAACGAGATATACTCTTCAAAACAGTAGGGGAACTTCATTATAAAGTGGGAGATACATCGGCGCCAGTCAATGATCATATAATAACAATGAATGTTTTGAGGGAATATCACTACTTGCACTTCCTTATGACCATAGCTGGTTGTTCAGTAGTCGTCCTTGAAAGATGATTGGTGTATGACGTGAAATGACCATGTGTACGATTTTCATTCAGTAGTGTGTGATTCCACCACGAAGGGTCAGACATTTATTCAGATGACGAGGCATGCTGCGTGTGAGTCTCCCAATGGCCAATTGGGGTAGTCGGTTCTACTCTTCCCGAAGCGCACGACCAAGTTCATCCAGCTTAGTCGCGGCCTTTGACGTTGACGTACACGCCTCCCTGTCATGTCCCAGACGCGTGGATGGGGGAAAGATCAGGGATCATTGCTGGCCATGGCAAACGATAGATGTTGAGTTGCTAGAGGTGATTCTTCACGACATGTGCACGGTGACCACGGCCGTTGTCATCCTGAAAAACGAAATGACGACCGAAATGCCGTGCAGATAGGACAACAAATGGCGCCAGTATCCGAAGACATGACACGTGACCAACGACGATTCATCCAGTGTCTACGTGCACAAGACCATTCTCTTCTTACAGCCATGTGACGATCGGTCAAGGGTGGCTGAACCTGGAGCCGTCGAACATGCAAATGAGCTGCATGGTGGCGATTCCTAATCGTCTTACCGGTAACTCGAACACCAGTAGTCTGACACAGATGTGCTACAATTTGATTGGCCGTTACAGCTGGATGTTTTAAAGCCTGGTTCCTGTACTCTTGTTGCTGACCTTGGACGACCTGAACGGGGTTGATCTTCAACATTTTGGGTTTGATGATATCTGTTCAAAAGTCTGCTTGTGAGTGACCTCGGAACATGGAAGGTATTTGCCACCTGACGCTGGGTAGTGCTACCTGCCAACAGACCTCGGAACATGGAAGGTATTGGCCACCTGACGCTGGGTAGTGCTACCTGCCAACAGACCTCGGAACATGGAAGGTATTGGCCACCTGACGCTGGGTAGTGCTACCTGCCAACAGACCTCGGAACATGGAAGGTATTGGCCACCTGACGCTGGGTAGTGCTACCTGCCAACAGACCTGGGAACATGGAAGGTATTGGCCACCTGACGCTTGGTAGTGCTACCTGCCAACAGACCTCGGAACGTGGAAGGTATTGGCCACCTGACGCTGGGTAGTGCTACCTGCCAACAGACCTGGGAACATGGAAGGTATTGGCCACCTGACGCTGGGTAGTGCTACCTGCCAACAGACCTGGGAACATGGAAGGTATTGGCCACCTGACGCTGGGTAGTGCTACCTGCCAACAGACCTCGGAACATGGAAGGTATTGGCCACTTGACGCTGGGTAGTGCTACCTGCCAACAGACCTCGGAACATGGAAGGTATTGGCCACCTGACGCTGGGTAGTGCTTCCTGCCAACTGACTTCGGAACATGGAAGGTATTGGCCACCTGACGCTGGGTAGTGCCACCTGCCAACAGACCTCGGAACATGGAAGGTATTGGCCACCTGACGCTGGGTAGTGCTTCCTGCCAACAGACCTCGGAACATGGAAGGTATTGGAAGGTATTGGAAGGTATTGGCCACCTGACGCTGGGTAGTGCTTCCTGCCAACAGACCTCGGAACATGGAAGGTATTGGAAGGTATTGGCCACTTGACGCTGGGTAGTGCTACCTGCCAACAGACCTCGGGTCGTGGAAGGTATTGGCCACCTGACGCCGGGTAGTGCTACCTGCCAGCAGACCTGGGAACATGGAAGGTATTGGCCACCTGACGCTCGGTAGTGCTACCTGCCAGTTGCACGTAAACCTTAATCGTGTTCCATACGCCGCATTGTAAACAAACAGCCAGAAACAGACACTAACAACTGTGTGATCAACAGATGCAAGATAAAGGTCTACATTGTTTAATCGACCTTCCCGAAAACCGTCAAAATCAAGAATGACACCTCATGCACTTGAATGAGGCTACTGCGTTGTACACGTGCATCCCATGCGTTGTGTTTAGGAAGGGTGGGTGATAAAAGAGATGGTGGTGCGTTCATAAGATGTCTGTCTGTCTTTGTTTGTTAACGTTTATACTTTCAACCAAATTGAAAGTTCAGGTTACCTACTTTTTTTAAAGAGTATATTAGTTGTCACAACCAGAGGGGTATAATATTTCTAAAAATAATTGCAGAAAATGAAAAACGAACAGTCATTTGGTACCGTTTGGGTAATGATATGCCCAAATATATATCACATAAAATATGTCTAGTATAGTATTGGATGACTTCACGTCATAATCATCAGTCAATGATTTGGATTGCTTGATTTAGATTTAGAGGGGGTTGGTTTTGAAGGACACCCCCATTTTATTATTTCAAAAACATTGTGTCCAGATATAAAAGATGGCCCTGTTGACAAAGCGTTGAGAGCTGACACTTGTGCGACCGACCATACATTATTTAGTTTGAACCTTTGACCTCAAGCATGAATAAGTGAAAACATTAGGAAACGTTATGCCCTTATGATTACATCATCTGAAAGGGAGTTTGTAGTGTCACCAAAACAAGCTCTTTGTGTAAACATGAAGGGAGAGTCACTTCGACAAGCAACTGTAGTTTCAAATTGCTTCTTTATGCACTTTAATATCTAAGTTTGATTCTAGCGTCTACCTATCTCAAACACACAGAAATATTTTTGCATATTTTGTTGCCTGAAGTTGGTGATGCATTTATTGCAGATGTTGCGGTTTTGGGGAGTAACAAGATAATAGGTCAAACTGGGGATCGTGAGGCTGGAACATGACAAAACCAACTCGCTTGAAGTTGACAGATAATATGTAGAAAGATTGCTGGGGCATGACATACACGTGACTGGGGTATGCCAAACACTTGACTGGGGGGTAAGCCATACACGTGACTGGGGGGTATGCCATACACGTGACTGGGGGGTGACATACACGTGACTGGGGGGGTGACATACACGTGACTGGGGGGTGACATACACGTGACTGGGGGGTGACATACACGTGACTGGGGGGGGTGACATACACGTGATTGTGTTCAGTGCTCCATGAAAGATTAATGTGAGAGCAAGATGACTAAATGTTTGATTAATATCCGATCGGTAGAATCAAACAGCATTACCATAACCCGCTAAATGATTCCAAGGGTCAGCCTACCATTACAGGCGCCTATGGTGGCCGAGATAGTCTTAAAGCTGTCCATGAGCTCATCTAGGTCCTTGGATAGATCCCTCCTGATCACATGTCCAAAACATTCCTCACACCTGGGATCTACAAAACAGAACCACTGACATTCAACACACTTGTAACAGATGTTTTGTGTAGGTTAACACTTCAGTAACAGATGTTTTGTGTAGGTTAACACTTCAGTAACAGATGTTTTGTGTAGGTTAACACTTCAGTAACAGATGTTTTGTGTAGGTTAACACTTCAGTAACAGATGTTTTGTGTAGGTTAACACTTCAGTAACAGATGTTTTGTGTAGGTTAACACTTCAGTAACAGATGTTTTGTGTAGGTTAACACTTCAGCAACAGATGTTTTGTGTAGGTTAATACTTCAGTAACAGATGTTTTGTGTAGGTTAACACTTCAGTAACAGATGTTTTGTGTAGGTACAGATTCCACTAATGTTACACTCTCGGCGTATTGCACCGACTCTGATGTCCGCTCAGCCATCTACTATTCCGAGAAGTGGAATTCAGTTTTCAACGCATTATTCCTACTTATTATATTAAAACACGTGGGTGGTGGTTAAGTAATTCTCGAAGAAAGCTTGATTTCAGTATTAAGGTTTGATCCTAGGTTCTTGGTTGAGTTTTCATGGAGCAATTGCTCGAGCTAGTAATCACCAGTGAACTTGTGACACAAAGACCGAGACAACACCACGTTTGATCGGGTGGCTTCAATATAGAATTATCAAACAAATCCTTCCAGTTGGAAATTGTTTGTTTAAGATTGGATACATAAACTCTCCTGTTTGTACAATTTGTGATATGTTCATAGCCGATATTAATTTGTCATGATTTATGGAATTGTGAATTATAAACTCAGTCTGGATTGAAGTCCAAAACTGGATAAATTGCAAGGCGGAAATTATGATGCAATTTTGTTTTTGCCACGTGCCTGGCCATGACGTTGGCGGTCCCTGGTGGTTCCTGTTTGTTGGTACCTGTTGGCAAGTCTTATGATGGTGGAATGATGGCAACCAAATCGTCTGGCAATAATCCCGCTTGATGTGCCAACCTGCAACATGCCCAACGCCCGTTCTCGCTCCTCTGGTGACAATCTTGTCATTGCAAAAAAAACTCTACTTGCGGATGTACAGCTAAAATGATAACGTTTTTTTGCCGACGATCATTTATACCCCTAATCAGCATGTTTTACGCATGCAATGTGTGCTTTTGTTGTTGTCATGAGATGTGTTCCATGACGTGTTCGGGCAATCCGTTTTTTACTGTACAGCATTATTTATTGTATTTTGCACTTATCACTGCCTAGAGCTGCGCTGCAAATGTTGACTATTTCGACTGGTTCTGATAGAGCCTTCAGGCAAGTCAATAAAGACCCAGAGATATCATCTCCGGTCTTTCTACTGAGTGAGTGCAGTGGAGACAAAATGCGGTCGAATGTTCAATTAACCCGTTTGTAGTAAGGAGTCTTCAATTATGCCGTGTGTAGTAAAGAGTCTTCAATTATCCCGTTTGTAGTAAGGAGTCTTCAATTATATCGTTTGTAGTAAAGTGTCTTCAATTATCCCGTTTGTAGTAAGGAGTCTTCAATTATCCCGTTTGTAGTAAGGAGTCTTCAATTATCCCGTTTGTAGTAAGGAGTCTTCAATTATCCCGTTTGTAGTAAAGAGTTCAATTATCCCGTTTGTAGTAAGGAGTCTTCAATTATCCCGTTTGTAGTAAGGAGTCTTCAATTATCCCGTTTGTAGTAAAGTGTCTTCAATTATCCCGTTTGTAGTCAAGTGTCCTCAATTATCCCGTTTGTAGTAAAGTGTTTTCAATTATCCCGTTTGTAGTAATGAGTCTTCAATTATCCCGTTTGTAGTAAGGAGTCTTCAATTATCCCGTTTGTAGAAAGGAGTCTTCAATTATCCCGTTTGTAGTAAGGAGTCTTCAATTATCCCGTTTGTAGTAAGGAGTCTTCAATTATCCCGTTTGTAGTAAGGAGTCTTCAATTATCCCGTTTGTAGAAAGGAGTCTTCAATTATCCCGTTTGTAGTAAGGAGTCTTCAATTATCCCGTTTGTAGTAAGGAGTCTTCAATTATCCCGTTTGTAGTAAGGAGTCTTCAATTATCCCGTTTGTAGTAAGGAGTCTTCAATTATCCCGTTTGTAGTAAGGAGTCTTCAATTATTCCGTTTGTAGTAAGGAGTCTTCAATTATCCCGTTTGTAGTAAAGAGTCTTCAATTATCCCGTTTGTAGTAAAGTGTCTTCAATTATCCCGTTTGTAGTAAAGAGTCTTCAATTATCCCGTTTGTAGTAAGGAGCCTTCAATTATCCCGTTTGTAGTAAACTGTCTTCAATTATCCCGTTTGTAGTAAACTGTCGTCAATTATCCCGTTTGTAGTCAAGTGTCTTCAACTATCCCGTTTGTAGTTAGGAGTCTTCAATTATCACGTTTGTAGTAAGGAGTCTTCAATTATCCCGTTTGTAGTAAGGTGCCTTCAATTATCCCGTTTGTAGTAGAGAGTCTTCAATTATCCCGTTTGTAGAAAGGAGTCTTCAATTATCCCGTTTGTAGTAAAGAGTCTTCAATAATCCCGTTTGTAGTAAGGAGTCTTCA